ATTTAACGTCAGAATTTGACATAACAACAACGTCACAATGTAGTAGGAATTTGGTCACAAATAATACGTAACATAGTTTCAACCATGATATGACGTTGTTTTGTCAACGTCTTTACAACGGCCTGAAAAACAACGTTGTATTATTGTCATTATTATGGTTCCCTTCAAGACGTCACAATTATGTCATGTTTTCAACCAAGATATGACGTTCGCTTTCTAACGTCGTTTCAACAAATCAAAACACGACGTTGAATTGTGGTTGGCCGTTGGTTATAATATCTGACGTCGTACATATGTCATGCTTTCAACTAAAATGCAGCGTCCGTTTTTTACGTTTTTTCAACTACTAAAAAATTGACGTTGAATTATGGTCGGCTGCTGGTTACAATATTTGAAGTCGTTATGAGGTCATGTTTGCATCTAAGATATTACGCCCGTTTTCTAACGTCGTTTCCGCGATTCAAATAACGACGTTGAGTTCTGGTCAGGGGATGGTTAAAATATTTAACGTCGTTATTATGTCATGGTTTTCACCAAAATATAACGTCCGTTTTTGACGTTTTTTCAACGACTCCAAAAGCGAAGTTGAATTGTGGTCGGCTGCTGGTTATAATATTTGACGTCGTTATTAGGTTATGTTTTTAACCATGATATTACGTCCGTTTTATAACGTCGTTTCGACGATTCAAATAACGACGTTGAATTCTGGTCAGGGGATGGTTAAAATATTTAACGTCGTTATTATGTCATGGTTTTCACAAAAAATATAGCGTCCGTTTTTGACGTTTTTTCAACGACTCCAATCGAGGTTTTATTGTGGTCAGCTGCTGGTTATAATATTTGAAGTCGTTATTATGAGGCCATGTTTGCATCTAAGATATTACGTCCGTTTTCTAACGTCGTTTCCACGATTCAAGTAACGACGCTGAGTTCTGGTCAGGGGGTGGTTAAAACATTTAACGTCGTTATTATGTCATGGTTTTCCCCAAAATATAACGTCCGTTTTTGACGTTTTTTTCAACGACTCCAAAAGCGAGGTTTTATTGTGGTCAGCTGCTGGTTATAATATTTGACGTCGTTACTAGGTTGTGTTTTAACAATGATATTACGTCCGTTTTCTGACGTCGTTTCCACGACTCAAATAACGACGTTGAGTTCTGGTCAGGGGATGGTTAAAATATTTAACGTCGTTATTATGTCATGGTTTTGACATTTTTTTTCAACTACTCGAACAGTGACGTTGGATTATGGTCGGTTGCTGGTTATAATATTTGAAGTCATTATTAAAGGTCATGTTTTCAACCATAGTTACGTCCGTTTTCTAACGTCCTTTCGACGATTCAAATAATGACGTTAAGTTCTGGTCGATGGATGGTTAAAATATCTAACGTTGTCATTATGTCATGGTTTAAACCAAAATACAACATCCAAACGTACGTCTTGGCTCCGAGCCAAAATTCGTGCCCCGCGCGCCAAATGACCAAAACATCGCGCGCGCACCGCGCGTGCGTGAGCATTATTTACGCCCTGTGTGTGACCTCTTGCATTCCATCCAATGCTACACGAGTCTAGCAACTTCGAAACAGCTCAGTTCGGGAAAAGACGTGGTGGGTCAAATGTCGAAGTTTTGTGGGCACATTGCAACAGTCATTGTCCTACAGTATATGCCACTTGATGACAAGATCATGTTCCTGCTAATCTTAACTTCAAGTCAAGATACGACATCAGGATGTATGGGACAAGCACAAGATTCGATTGAACTGCAATTATCAAGATTAGTACGCAGGCGTACAATATGGTCGGCTTTTGCAATGTACCGGTCTGAAAAACGGTAAGTTTCTAATGCGATTGTTTCCGAGTTAGGGATTTGAAATTTCTTTTAAGGACGGGATCGAGTAGTCTTGAAATGTTATCCTGACAGTGATATGTACAATGGGTTCCCTTCTGTAGGCCTACTTACTTGTATAACATAAAAATTCAATGGAAAAATACTTCAACTTCTCATTGTTGAAAGTTGTTAATGTTTGACGCTATTGTCAATTCTTATTTCAAATTCAAAGTTACACTTACGGTGCCCTTTATTTAAACATTGAAATCTAGACAAGCTAAGCTAATCAGCAGTCATGCATGTTCTGCCCGCCTTCCATCATCATGTCCAAGCTGCATTTAAGCCTAAAACTGCTGTCATTTAACGCACATGTCAACATGAGACATATTTCCTACACTATGTTGATCGATAACTTAAATATTCCAAATCTCACTACCGCACTAACTCAAATGAGGACCTTGTGATGCTTGCAGTTTTTAAAATTTTTATATTCTTCGAATTTTTAAGTTTTGTTCATTTTCTTGGAATCGCATGGAACTGCCCAGTATACTTAAAATATGCATGTCTTCTTCATAAGAATAATTGTTTTCTTCGGATCTCTGAAAATAAATTTGCCGCTGCACTTAAATTGGCTTACATAAAGAATCTATTTTGTTTTAATTATTTACGAGTCACAAAAAAATATTTTTGAATGTGTTGGTATTCAAGAAAATTCACAATTTCATTCATCTCCTTTTAATTTTCCAGCTCATCTCTGCTCTTTGCAATTGATGGAGAAGAAACATACTACCCAAGCCCTACCATACGTGTCAACAATCATCAGAGAAAACATCAAGATCGACGGCCTGATGTCTTCTACCTCCACACATATTCAAAAAAGAGATTAGATCTCATGTCTGTGTTTTAGACGTCTAAATAAATTACACTTTCAACCATTAACTGACCTAAATTCAACAAAGAATCTGACGTCCTGTCGACGTCCATTTAACCAGTTAATCATGGTCAGACTGACGTCATGATTTGACCATATGCGGATGTTAGATTTTGGTCATGTTTTCAACGTCTAAAAAACTTTCAAAATCAATCATTAGATGACCAAAATCTGACCATGAAATCAGACGTCAGATTAACGTCAATCAAACCAGTAGGATTGACGTCACAACCCGACCATAAACAGACGTTATTATTTGGTCAGATTTCAACGTCTAAATAACTTACAAAATCAATCATTAGATGACCAAAATCTGACCATGAAATCTGACGTCAGTTTAACGTCAATCAAATCAGTAGGATTGACGTCACAACTCGACCATAAACAGACGTTATTATTTGGTCAGATTTCAACGTCTAAATAACTTACAAAATCAATCATTAGATGACCAAAATCTGACCATGAAATCTGACGTCAGTTTAACGTCAATCAAATCAGTAGGATTGACGTCACAACTCGACCATAAACAGACGTTATTATTTGGTCAGATTTCAACGTCTAAATAACTTACAAAATCAATCATCAAATGACCAAAATCTGACCATGAAATCTGACGTCAGTTTAACGTCAATAAAACCAGTAGGATTGACGTCACAACTCGACCATAAACAGACGTTATTATTTGGTCAAATTTCGACGTCTAACTGACTTTCATAATCAATTATAAAAGGACCAAAATCCAACGTCAGTATTGGTCAGAATCAAACGTCGCTTGGACGTTAAACCGACCAAAAATGCCTGCTGGGATGTTTAGCCTAAGGCTAATGCATATGACTGAGGTCATGGAGGTAGGCCTGCCAACTAACTCAGCAATGCTTTCTTTTACTTTTTGTGTTAAATAACCATGAACCGTTTCACAACACTCAGCATCAAATACTTCAAGTCAACCCCCATCCATATGATAACAAACAAATTAGGCCTACACTGGAGTGGAGGCACATGGGCCATGCACTGTGATGCAGCATAGTACGCGTTATGACATGCCTATAACTTAAGGCCTCGTACATGATATGTAGGCCTAGTAATTGTGACCCACTCATTGATACACAAACTTAATTCGCCCATTCCGAAAAAGCCTGTATCAGAATAAAATTCAGGTTAAATAATACAAGGTACATAATGTACAACAATGCAGTTCATATCTTGGGCAACTCACCGTATTTTCCCTTCAGGGCAATAAACTTTCTGAGACTGTATTCCTCTTTCACTGCACTTTTTAATAGAACTTAACTCGAGTAGCTTAATTAAACTGGCGCCAGTTGACTTGCACATTTGTACTGCATATGTTTACACACATAATTGACGCTGGCAATCGGGGCACTATACGCATAGCCTAGCGACCACACTGAGGCACATGTATAAAGCGCGCGTCATGCAGTGCCTAGCCTAAGCTTACATACACTACAGGGTCTGACCGTAAGTATAGCGCGGCAATGCCAAAAAAAAAATTAAAAGTAAAACTAAAAGTCGCTAAAAAGCTCGGGTTTTCAGTGGAAAAAGTCAAAGTTTCTAAAAAAAAAAACATGTGGTTTTGTACTTTTTGAAAATTTTCAAGATTTCGTGCTTTTTCATTTTT